CCGAAGTCTTGAACAGATCAAGACGGAGGTCTTTCGTCGTGTTCTGTGGGGGTCCTCGCGGGACCGTCAAAGGACGAGTCGGGATGAAAAGCAGGCCTTGGGGAACGAGTCTGGATTTCTGGAGCCCACGTATTGAACAAGTCGAGGCATCGAATCTTTGGTGGGAAAGACGGGGGCATGTGAGGGACCGAGACCGTAGACGGATCTTTCTTCTTTTGTTGGTGTAAGTTCAGCCTGAAAGGGCCCATTCCCGGCGCCCTGGCAGATTGATCGGAAGAGGGCGTCCAGAGAAACCCAGACTAGCTCATCTGCATGGCATATCCCCCCCACACACACACAGGTTCGAGGTTCGAGATTCTCAGCGTGTCTTCGTTGGCCCTCCGTGGCCTCCCAGCCTCGAGCTGCTCTCCAGCAGCCGCGTTTCGCCGAGGGCGTGCCGGGAGAGTGCCCGGAGCGTCCCACACGGCCGCCGGAGGGCCAAGTCCTGCGGGTCACGGGCTCGGCGAGGAGGCCCACGGATGGCGTGCTGTGCCGACTCGGGCAGGCTCATGTGCATGGCAGTCCCCCGCCCCGCCGCCTTTGCCTCAGGCGGTCGCAAGCATGGCTCAAGGGGGCGTGGACTAGCGACGGGTCCCGTCTCCATGGACAATCGCGGATGGCCGCCGCCGAACTAGGCGGCACCGGCCGCATTTTGGGGAGGGTGCGATCCATGGACTCGGCGACCGCGCGCCAAATCCACGGATCGCTAATCCATGCTTGCGCGCCCCCGAATCTGTGCCGACGCGGGCAGCTTCCTCTGCACGGCACCTCCCCGCCGCCGCTGCCGCCGCCCTGTGTCGGGCAGCACACCGGGCCGAGGAGGCGTGCACGTGCAGGCGGTGGGTCCCGAGCTGCGCGGGGTCCAGGTTTGCTTGCCGGGCCCCGCCGTGCCCCGCCGTGCAAGTGCGCTGTCCGGAGTCTCGAGGAAGGGTTGCTTCAAAGCTCGGAAGACCCTCTGAGACGCGGAGGTTGATAGACCTCCTACCTTTCAGTCGGGCCTGTCCCTCTACAGGGGGAAATCTCCAAGAAGAGTCAAACAATAGTTTGGGGATGATTTGTGTTACCATGTTTGAACATGTTTGGGGTATTTTGGTTTTTCGCCCGAAATCCGCCTGTAGGGGGACACGCCCGACTTGATCCTACCTTGACACGTCGATTAGCGAATTGGCCGTTTTCGGTTCGCGAGAGGGCGTCGCGGCCGTCATTTTTGCGGGTCCAGGTCCGTCGGTTTCGGTCCCAGGCCGTCTTCACTAAAGGGTGGTTTACTGAAGGGCGCTTTGTCCACCGCTCAACCTCCCGGAGTCTTGAGAAAAATTGCCTAAAATCTTGGAATACCCTCTAAGACAGCAGGATCCCCCCATTCAACTAAGTTTGGGGACCCCACTCCGAGAGAACTGCCTGAGCAGTTTGCCCCACCTGCCGAAACTGCAGGTGCATTGCATGGTGTTGGCCGCGTTAGCGAAAGCGATGGCGAAACATCAGCACAGCGAGCATGGATCCTGGGCCAGCGATTCCTTGGTGATGCTGATGAGGTCGGCGGCTATCGTCGCCATGACGATGATGATGATGATGATGATGATGATGCTGATGCTGATGCTGATGCTGATGCTGATGCTGATGATGATGATGATGATGATACTTTTACTGTTGTTGACGAGGATGATGGCGACGCTTGTGCTGACGATGATGATGCTGCTGATGATGCTGATGGTGATGATAATCATGATGATGATGCTGCTGATGATGAGAATGATGATGATGATGATGATGATGATGATGATGATGATGATGATATTGATGTTGATGATGACGATGATGCGGCTGATGATGATGATGATGCTGATGATGATGGTGATGATGAACATGAACATGAACATGAACATGATCATGAACATGAACATGAACATGAACATGAACATTGACAGTACGATGATGTCGGCGACAGCGGTGATGGTTTAGATGCTGGCAGCGATGGTGATTACCACCATCAGTGGTGACGGCGCAATCTATTTTCGGTGGGGGGGGGCGTTTGCCGTCGAGGACGAACAGTTGTATAAGCATGAGGAATGTGGATCCGCGCTGCTCCAAGCACTCCGCGTGAGGCTCCGAGAGTTTGTCTACATGCTGTCGTTACCGTCTGATTAGGTACCTGTTCGGTCAGGGACTACCTGTGAGTCGGGTATGTCCCTCGACGGGGAGAATCTGCAAAAACAGTTCAACAAATTGTCTGGGGACGAGTTTTTGATCAGTTTTGACTTTTTTACTGTATGCTTTGATTTTCTGTTCGCCCAGCGTCCGCCTGTGGGGGTATCTGCGTGCCCGACCTGCGGCTACTCTTCTGGCCACGCCCTCGGGACGCCGACGGTGCCGACGGGGCCAGCCGCAGGCGCCGGCTCGCTGGTGCTGCCGACGGGGGACACGTACAGGGGCGAGTTCGCGGCGCACAAGTACCACGGCTCCGGCGCGGCGGCCGCAGCGCCTTTTTGCGCAGATTGTCACCACCCACCAAACCACCCCAACCCAACCCGAAGGCTCAGATTTACCCTCGATTTCCAGTGGGGGGGGGGTCGGGAAACATCGAAGAAACACATGTGGAACCCTTACCCCCCCCAACCCGAAATTCGGGTCTTCGGGTTGGGTTGGGGTGGTCTGGTAGGTAGTCAGATTGCAGATCTCGTCGGCCCCGCCCTTCCCTGAGGGTCAAGTCGGGCCTGGCCCTCCACAGGAGGGATACTCCCAAGCAGTAGGAAAGATAGTCCGGGGACGGTTTGGGGGTGGCATTGTTTGAGTATCTGGGGGCATTTTTGGGTTATGTTTTGTTATTGTTCGTCCCAGTATCCGCTTGTAGGGGGACACGCCCGACCTAACCTCAGGGGAACGAACACTGACATACACAGAAAAACTCGGAGGCCCGCGCGGATTTCTCGGATCGGCGCTGGAGCCCCCTGGCGGCGCCTCCTGCGCCGCCTCTGGTGCGCTCCGCGCGTCAAGGAGGGGGGTCCGACGCCGATCCGAAAAATCCGCGCGGACCTCCGAGGCTTGATGTGTACGTCATTGTTTGTTTCATTATTCCTCCCTTCCTCCCGTCCCTCCTCCTCGCCTCGTCCTCTCCGCCTCCCTCCCTCCTCTTTCCTTCGTCCCTCCTCCTCCCCTGCTCTTTCTCCCTCTCCCCTCCTCTCGTTGCCCGTGGAGTGCATTCGGCAGCAAATAGGGGTTCTGTCACTCTTGGCAGCTGAAGTTCAGCATCGGCGCTGGCTGGCATTCTTTGGGATCGATCTGGCCTGATGGTGTGTGAAGCCACCTCCTTCTCTTCTCTTCTTTAGGTCCAGTGTCGCAAGCAAAGCGCAACATTATATCTTGACCAGAGCCCTTGGCCCCAATCTTGTGCGGCATCTCTCGAGCCAGGTCGACATTTGAGGACCCCAGTGCTCGACTCCGTGAGAACACGGTCGGTGCAAACAAAAGCGGAACGCCAGGATCTCAGGGTTGCCCCTTGCTCAAGGCCTTACATTTGGGGCCAGAGACAATGGGGTTGGAGGATCACGCCGCTTCATCGATGCATCGTACCGGCGTTCATCGGCGACCCAGTGTGCTCTCGCCCCTCCTGGGAGGTCTCCCGGCTCCCTCGGCCCAGGCAGCCGACGTGTTGATCTCTTCTCGATTTGGGGCTCCCCCGCAGTCTCGACCTCGTCGCCCCAGGCCAGGCCTCCCAAACGGGGTCTGAGTAGCTGGGGTCGGAGGACCGAGCCGCATCGCCGATGCATCGGCGATGCGGCTCGATGTGGAGCCCGATCTTCCCCTCGCCGACGTCGCCGGTGCACCGCCGACGTCGCCGATGCATCGACGAACCGGCGCGATCCTCCGACCCCCATCTGCTCCTACACCCCACCTGGGAGGCGTCTGTTCGCTCTGGCGGGCTTTGCCTTCCGAGCTATTTCTGTCGACGGTGGCCCAGCGAGGGCCCCTGGAGGCCGAGAACGGCGGAGAGTCTCCGTGCTCTGTGCTCAAGGCGTCGGATGTCTGTGGAGTTCGGTGGCCTTCGGGCCATAGCTCGGGCTGCCAGCGGTCGTCCTGGGCTGGATTCGGGCACTCTCGGAGCGCTCTCGGCGAGGCGCGGCTGCCTGCAAGTGCCCCGAGGGCGGAGCATCTCCAGGGACCAACCTGCGCGTCCGCGGAAGCCTCCTGGCCTCCAGCCTCACGACGTGGAAGGCCTGGGCTTCCTCGTTTGGCGAGGGGGCGGCGGCGGGCGACGACGGACGTCCTCGGCACCGCCCAGGCACATCCACAGCCGCCGTCTCGGAGCTGGGCCCTGTGACCTCGAGGGCCTCTCGGGAGAACGGGTGGGTATGGAGCTCGTCCTGCCCTGGATGGCGGGAAGTATCCACGACATCCATTCGCGAGTGCACGCCGGTCGTTGAAAAGTAGGTATTTTGTGGGACTCCCAGATCCCAAACTACTTGGAGCGCCTTCCTACTTCAAGAATCGATGTGATTCTGCAGTGTCTTGTTAGTCTCCTGGGATGGCCCGAAGCCAATCTACTTTATCCGCTGACTTCATGTTTGTATCCACTTCTTTCGGCCGACGTGTCAGTTTGCCGCGGAAGGTCGCGCGCTTGAGTGCCCTTCTCTCCACGCGGTGTGCCACGCTTGCGGCAAGGGGACACCACCGCGCAAGGTCGCCGTGCCCTCGTACGTAAGACCCTATGTCGTCGCTCATTTGTCGGACACGCGCAGAAGGGGGGAGAGGGAGGAGGAGGAGGAGAAGGAAGAGGAGGAGGAGGAGAAGGAAGAGGAGAAGGAGGAGGAGGAGGAGCCTTGTCGGAAAGCGCGGGCCTTGTCTATTCTAGATGCAGGGCCGCCGCTTTCTACGAAACAGCCTCCTTCTAAGAGGCCTTCCCCCCTTCCCCTGCCCCTCGTGCCTTGGCATCCCTCGGACGTGCGCATTTGTTCCTCGGCGCGGACCATTGAGCAGCATCTTGGGATCGTTTTCGAAGATGACACGGACGATATCGAACACTACACGGGACATGGACGCCCGAGAGATGGCAAGGTGCGTGCCGCCAAGTGTTCGAGCACGTGATCGATTACATAAGGATCTACCCCAAAATTGATGTGTTCGTAAAGTATACGAAACAATGCGTATGAGGCTTGTAGATCTAGGAGCATCATGCGTATATGTTCAAACGTCCGACGGACAATTCAATTCTGGACGCTTCGCGTATCCCTCCAGCGGTCCCCCCCCGCCGCCTGATCCGCGGCCCCCGCGCGCGCCCGGGAATTTAGTCGCGGCCGCAGCCCGACCGTGACCGCCCGCCGTCGGCGCTTTCGCCTGCGGCTGTAAAAAAAAGTATCCCTCCAGCGGGTCGCCCCCCTCTCATGCGCAGGGTCAGGCTATAGCCACACCTCTGCGTCAGTGAGCCTTGGTGAGTCAGGCCCTATCCCTGTTGCCGCTCTGTCTTTTTCTTGGTGCTGCCGTGTGCCCTGGCTGGGGTCCGCACTTGCACCTTTCACTCCTCCCCCCGCCTCCTGGCCTTGCCTCACGTGCTGTTCGGCCGGAGATTGGCGCCGCCTGGGCGACTTCTCCCCGCCGTTCCTGTGCCGTCCCAGAGCCGGTCGCCGCGCTCGTCCCCACCTGTTGGGTTGCTCAGCTCGATCACCTGGTCTCGCTGCCGCGCCTCTGCGTCCCCACCTGCTGGGATGTCTGAGCCGGTCACCTCTTAATGTGGGTCATTTTGTCCCCGGCACGTGCAGACGCCTTGCGGCCTATGCGCCACTGCGGTTAACTATCTTCGTTCAGCGCCCCGAACGTTGCCCCGCATCTTGACCTTAGTCCTGGAGCCGCCGACCAAAAAATTATCCCTCCAGCCTAGGCCTTCAGCCGCCTGTGCGCGCGCTAGGTCAATGAGTTTTGCTCGTAGCCCGAGCTGATTTGGGACGCCGCCGACGCCTTCGCCTGCGGTTGCGACGAAACAAACCCTCCAGCCCATCCAGAAACGATGTCCAGGCGCATTCGGTAATCAGGGAAGCGCGGGGAGCAAAGAGGGGGACGGCCGAAGCGTGCGAAGGATGGAGGAGGAGAAGGAGGTGGCTGGATGGACGGACGAAAGAGTGGGGAGAGGGAGGAGGAACATGATGATGAGGAGGAGGAGGGGGAGGAAGATAAGGAGGAGGAAGGAGAAGGTGAAGAAGGGGGGCAAGCAAAAGGGCCAGAGGTATCTTGGATGCCTCTCGGAGCCTCTTGGGATATCTCTTGGCTGCTTCTTGGTGGCCTTTTGGGACGTCTCGGGGGTCTACTGGCGGTCCTGGGGGCTGTTGGGCGTCTTGAGTGCCGCGGGGGGGGGCCTCTTGGGCAGCTTAGGGTCCTCTTAGGGGGCCTCCTGGGGGCCCCTTGGGGGCTTCTTGGGGCCATCTTGGGGCCATGTTGGGACCTCTTGGGGCCTCCTGGGCGCCTCTTGGGGCCATCTTGGAGGAGATCGATCAACAAAGCGCGGAGCCTATTTTAGCGCTGCTCCGTCAAGAGGCCACCTGGGGGCCAAATCCTTGGTAAAACCAATGATTTGGGCTTCCTCGCCGAGGCCGCTTTGGACGCTGCAATGGGTCGCGGCACCGCCCGTCCAGGTCCACGGGAGGGGGGCGGGGGGAGGGGTCAAGTTACCCCCTCCCCGCCCGCACGCCGTCTAGCTCATTCCCACCCGCCCTCCCAACACATACGTAGCACCCGAGTCTGGCCCGAGCCTGAGCATAGTCAGCAGTCGTATTTGGATGGGCAACTACTGGGGGCCAATCCGCCGCCGCCGCCTCCGCCGCCGCCGCCGCTGCCGCCGCCGCCGCTGCCCGCCGCCGCCGCCTGCCGCCGCCGCCGCCGCCGCCCGCCGCCTGCCGCTTGCCGCCGCCGCCGCCCACCGCCGCAGCCGCTTCTGCCACCGCCGCCGCCGCCGCCGCCGCCGCCGCCCCCCGCTTCCAACCCGCCGCCGCAGGCGCAGCCGCAGCCGCCGCCGCCACCGCCACCGCCGCCGCAGCCGCCGCCGCCGCCGCCGCCGCCAAGTGTACTTACTATGTATTGTTTTTTTGACACGGATGGTGTGGGGGGGGGGGGGCGCATCGGGTTGGCTGCGCATGTTCCGAATTTGGAGGCAGAGTGTGGCTTGCATCGTTTTTACCAGGAATGGTGGGGGGGGGGCATGGACCCTGGTTGGCCCCCGGTCGCCTGGGGGAGGGTGTGTTTACTAATAGGGAACAGTGATGAACCCCTTCCCCGAAGGGGCAGAAGGGGGGTTGAAGAGGAAACTCCCTAAACCACCTACGCCCAGAGGGCTGGTGGGATCTCGGTAAAAACCAATGTTGTAGTCCGATCCCCTACTCGAATTCGGTGGCAAATCATGGGAGCCTGGTGTACCCTCGCAATTATGTATTTAGCGTCGACCAGCGTCGGTTAGCGCCTGGGGCCGATGAGACATAACGC